CATGACCATGCATATGTTATCATCACCTATGATGAGGTCTTATTATACCTTCTGTCTACTGTTAGGTAAGGGAAAATGTCACTAGTTCCATTCTAGGAATTTTGGGTCTGTTTGACTTTTTTAAACCTTCTTTTGTTTTCTCCCGAGAAATGCTCGAAAACACTTGTTGCTGAATTTTGCGGCATGAAATCAACTGCGATTAAATGTAGTCATAGAATGACAAAGCCATCGGTTAAGAAACTACTTAGCACAGGGAGTGTCAACTACTATTCGGAAGGTGACGCGCGTGGTCCTTCACGCAACCCCTCAAACGACTACGTGTCTTTATGAGAGGATTATTACTTATGTTGTCCATGTCGTCGTTAATGACGGCCTTCAGCAAGACTCTGGGCGTGTAGGCATGCTTTATGGTCCCGACCTAAAGCATGTCCCAAATGTAGGACTTTCATCAGGTGAACTAGAAACTCAAACTTAAACAATAACACTACCATAAAAATGATCATGATTATGGAAGAACATTTGTGTGACTACCGCTGCAACTGGGAGGGTACTGCAGTGTTGGTCATGGCTAACACTTAACAGGCACAGGAACTATTGGAGGTTTGATTATCCAATTTGGACAGTATTAATCACCATTTTGACCTAGATATCCACTAGAAGCGTCTCCGATCACGGTTCAGTGAGTGGCGCCAACCTCAAAAACAACGGCCGCAAATGCATGTCCGAATACGTAGAATCTTATCGACACGTCGTTTTCTGCTTCTGCTCCGAGACCTCGGACGACAATTCATACTCAAAACATCTCTCCTCACCTCTGGCACCCATCACACCTCAGAGCACATTTCCTTCGGCAAGAACGGCTACCTACCACTCAGCCTGCGCCCGCAAATACCAGTGCGACAATCTTACCTTACACTGTTCATTTTATCCGATGACCAGTTGAATGTAAACAGCTTGGGGATATATGAGTAAACTTTTATTCAACATCCTGCATTCACCGATTGGATTCTCTAACAAGTTCTTCCCATTGTGCTTGAGGGATCAATGTAGTTCGACTTATAAATGCTCAATCCTCAGAGAACTCGGATTCAGAGCTCGGGGGTTCCAACCCTACAGATTGAGTATGACTGACTGATGACGGCTAACAAGCCAAAAATGGCCATTCCGGTCTGCCTTTTCTTTGTCGGATCCACTCCTTCATATATCTGAGGTCGCTAAGAGACAGCCTGACATCACTCGGGTGCGAGCCTCGAGGCACACCGGGAAAAGAATATGACCAAAATCGGATGGATGGTATGAACATCCCAGTTCCATATATATTTGCATATGTTTCTTCAGCATGTAATTATGTTTTCCACGGTACTAACTGTTGCCTCCACATATTAGCTGATATATCCTGTGTAACCAATCACAAAATACCACATTTCAGAAGTGTAAAATATTCGCCACCTCGGTGGGAATCAAACCCACCGAGTAGTGGAGATATTAGCGCAGCCAACGCCAACGAGGCCCACCATTTTACATGTTTAACTTACTCCTCTTAGGGAATCCACCATTACGGAGCACTAAGCTGACTGCCCAGGCAGGATTTCATAAGCAATCATCTAGAATCCACCAGATTGACTGCTAGGCTCACTTATTTGTTATGGGTCTTTAGCAGATTTGCTTAATTCATTTGACCAAATTGTGAAAAATAAATGCTAAGTTCGAAAATAAATGCAA